AGTAACCCCAGATAAGATAAGGGGATTCCCCTTCCAAACAATAGTACACCACCATCCTCTCCCCCCTCCTCATCAATCATCAATAAGTCTTCAATAAAGGTAAGTGTCATTTTAGTAATGTTTTACTCTGCATGTCTCATTGTTTTCTGTGTAGGGAAATGTATATTTCATGTAGAAAAATTATTTTGTTTAATACTTTTGGGTGTCTGGAACGGATTAATTGGATTTCCATTATTTCTCATGGGGAAAATTAATTCGGATTAAGTCAGATTCGGTATAAGACATTCTCTGGAACAGATTAATTATGTTATCCGGGGGTCCACTGTATAGAGTTTGCCACTATCCACAGAACATATATCCCCCAGATAGGGGGGTTCTACTGTTTACAGATATTCCAAAAATCTGAAACTCTTCTGGTCTTAAGCATTTTGGATAAAGTATTCTCGATTTTATAGTGGTGCCTCTAGTTTCTTCTTGCTGCAGCACAAAGGAAACTGGAGGCAATGGAGATGTCATGTTTAAACATCACGCAGAGAATTCAGAACATAGAAATTAAAAGGCAATGTGGGTGTATGACTAAGGTAGGAGGCACAGGGGTCATCCTGGGAAGCCATTTCAGAATATATTGCAGAGACTAAACCTTCAATGGACACTGATTCACTTCCTGTTCCTTCTCTTCCCTCTCCTCCATCTTCACAACCCCATTCTTCGCAACGCTCCGTTCCTTCGCTGCTTGAACGTCTTCCAATGCCACCGCACGTTGACTTTTCTAACCCCTCTAGTCCGTAGGTGCCTTTCCCTATGGATTCCTGGTATTTTCTTCATCGCCAATCATGGCCTATTTACAGTGGAATATCCGCGGCCCCAGGGGTAATCGGGGTGAGCTTCAGATGTTGCTTTCCAGGTTTTCCCGTTGGTGCTTGCTTACAAGAACCAAAATTACACTCGGCTGTTTTCCAACCTATCTCAGGCTATAATTTATTGTATTCTTCGGATCCTTTCTCAGATGGGACCTTTAATGAAAGTGCCCTTCTTCTACGCAATGATATTCCGTACTGTCAACTATTTGTCCATACCTCGCTGCATTACACTGCAGCCCGTATCCACTTGAATAAGTGGTTTACAATATGTTGTTTATATCTCTCTCCTTCTCGAGCATTTTCTATCCCAGACTTTGCCTTTCGTTTCATCCTTACCACCACCACTTCTGTTACTTGGTGATTTTAACGCCCACCATTTCCTCTGGGGGGGGGGGGGGGGTCTCATTGTGACTCACATGGCATCCAGTTGGAGGCTTTTCTCGCCTCTCACCCCCTCCATGTTTTAAATACGGGTACTCCCACCCATTTTGATCCTCGTACTCATACTCTCTCTTGCATCGATCTATCCGTCTGCTCTTCCTCCACTGCACTAGACTTCACCTGGTCTGTTCTACCGGACTTACATGACAGCAATCATTTTCCAATCATTCTTACTTCTCCTTCCTATTCACCACCTTTCCGTAGCCCTCGCTGGCAATTTGATCGGGCAAATTGGGATCTTTACTCGCAACTCACTGCTTTCAGTGAGGTTCCTTCTTCATCCTCCATTGATGAGCTCCTACACCTCTTCTCGACGTCAGTTTATACTGCAGCTTCTCATTCTATACCCCAAACCTCAGGCAGGCATTCTCAGAAGTGCGTGCCTTGGTGGTCTCTTGCTTGTGCTCGTGCAGTACGTTTGAAACGCGCTGCATGGGGCAGGTACTGGTACAATAGACCCGCTGAGAGACTTCTTGATTTTAAGCAGAAGCGTGCGATTGCTCGCCGTGTCATCCGTGAAGCTAAATGCACTTGCTGACGAGACTGTTTCCACCATCACCTCTGCTTCTTCTATGAGTGCAGTCTGGAAAAAAGTGAGGAAATTGAGTGGTAAATACTCTCCTGGCCCGGCTCCTGTTCTATGGGTCGCTGGTGTTGATGTAGCAAACCCTCACGACGTTGCCATTGAACTTGGCACACATCTGGTCCGTATTTCCCAGGGGCTCCATTTATGCCCCTCGTTTTTTTCCTCAAAGTCTGCCAGAGAGTTAGTACCCTTGGACTTTTCTTCTCTCAGAGAAGAACATTATAATGTGCCTTTTACACTTCAAGAACTGGAGGCAACGCTCTCAGCTTGCCGATCATCGGCAGCTGGGCCTGACGACATTCATATTCGTATGTTACAACATTTACATCGGTCAGCCCTTGTAGTCCTCTTACACCTCTTCAATCTTATTTGGGCACAAGGAGTTCTTCCCCAACTGTGGAAATCTGCCATTGTTCTCCCTTTCCGCAAACCGGGTACTACAGGACATGATGCCTCCCACTATCGTCCCATCGCTCTTACTAGTGCAGTTTGCAAAGTAATGGAACGTCTCGTAAATCGACGTTTAATGTGGTATTTAGAGACACACAACAGTCTCTCCGCTAGCCAATATGGCTTTCGTAAGGGCCGTTCTACCATAGACCCCTTACTACGCTTGGATACGTATGTTAGTAATGCCTTTGCGAATAATCACTCAGTTATTGCCATATTTTTTGACCTTGAGAAGGCATATGACACAACTTGGAGGTATAATATTTTGGCCCAGGCCCACGCCTTAGGCCTCCGAGGCAATCTACCATCCTTCCTTAAGAACTTTTTAACTGACAGACATTTCCGTGTTCGAGTCAATAATGTTCTTTCCCCGGACTTCGTCCAAGCTGAAGGTGTCCCTCAGGGATGTGTTCTAAGCACAACACTTTTTCTCCTTGCTATAAATGATTTGGCCTCTGTTCTTCCACCCAATATTTGGTCATCACTCTATGTTGATGACTTCGCTATTGCTTGTGCAGGCGCTGACTGTCATCTCATTGCAGTTTCTCTCCAGCATGCGGTCGACCGTGTTTCCACTTGGGCCACCACGCATGGGTTTAAATTTTCCAGTACCAAAACTCGCCAAATTACTTTCACTAGACGCTCTGTCATCTCCGATCATCCTTTGTATCTCTTTGGCTCCCGTATCCCCGAACGTGATACAGTCAGGTTTCTAGGCCTTCTCTTTGACCGTAGGTTATCCTGGAAACCTCGCATTACCTCTCTGAAGGCAACTTGTCACAGCCGGCTAAACCTTCTTAAAACCCTTGCTCATCTTTCCTGGGGAGCTGATCGTCGAACTCTGCTTCGCCTACATTCAGCCCTCGTTTTATCGAAACTCGATTATGGTGACCAGATTTATTCAGCGGCCTCTCCTGCTACTCTCTCTAGCCTTAACCCCATCCATCACCAAGGATTACGTTTGTGCCTTGGTGCTTTTCGCTCTTCCCCTGTTGAGAGCCTCTATGCAGAAGCGAATGTTCCATCCTTGTCTGATCGCCATGATGCCCATTGCCTTCGCTACTATGTACGCTCTCACGATCTCCACAATCCTTCCATTTATAGAATGGTCACTGATATTAGTAGACATTCTTTATTTGTTCGCCGCCCCTGTTTGCTCCGTCCCTTTTCTCTTCGCCTACATTCGCTCTTGTCTTCCCTTCAGTTACCACCTTTATATGTTCATGTAGCATCTCACTTTTCCCTACCCCCCTGGGAAGTTCCAGCTGTTCGGGTCTGTTCTTTCTCACTCCCTTGCTCGAAAGCTCAGCTGCCTACGGTGGCTTCCCGCTCTCTGTCTTGATCACTTCCACTCCCATTCCCATTCTCATGCCATCGCTGTGTACACAGATGGCTCTAAGTCTTCAGACGGCGTCGGATTCGCAGCAGTGTTTCCGGACAGCGTCGTGCGGGGGCATTTACTATCTTCGGCTAGCATTTTTACTGCTGAATTGTATGCCATTCTTGCAGCACTTATTCGTATCGCATCTATGCCTGTGTCATCATTTGTGGTAGTCTCAGACTCCCTTAGTGCTCTACAGGCTATACGAAAATTTGATACATCTCACCCCCTAGTTCTCCGTATCCAACTTTGGCTACGCCGTATCTTTACCAAGCATAAAGATGTTATTTTTTGTTGGGTCCCTGGTCATGTCGACGTACAGGGCAATGAACAGGCAGACACTGCTGCGCGGTCAGCAGTACATGACCTACCAATTTCCTATAGAGGTGTTCCATTTCTGGACTATTTTGCTGCAATAACTACCCACCTTCACACCCGTTGGCAACATCGTTGGTCAACTCTGCTCGGTAACAAACTTCATTCTATTAAACCGAGCATAGGTTACTGGCCGTCTTCTTGTCATCAGTGCCGAGGTTGGGAGACCACTCTCTCCCGCCTTCGCATTGGCCACACTCGTCTTACTCATGGGTATCTCGTGGAGAGGCACCCTGTTCCTCTCTGTGAGCAGTGTCAAGTTCCAGTATCGATTAGCCACATTCTGTTAAGACTGCCCTCTCTATCAACGAGCACGCAGAATTTACCTCCAAAGTCGTCTTCGTTCTACTACTCTCTCTTTACCTTCCCTTCTTGCTGATGGACCCTCCTTTAATCCTGACTCTCTCATTGACTTCTTGACAACGACTGATTTACTCCACAAACTCTGATGATACTTTTCGCACTCCCCTCAGCCCTTTCTAGTTCAGTCTCTTGCTGCCCTTTACCCTTTCACCATCCACTACCCCGCTGTTATCCGTAACCTATTACTCATCCATCTCCCTTTTGCCACCTGATGCCCTCGCTTCCTTCCTACCCTGCAGCGCTGTATAGCCCTTGTGGCTTAGTGCTTCTTTTTGATTATAATAATAATAATCCCATGGGTTGAATGCTCTTCCCATGATTGTTTATGGGGAAATGCTAAACCCATTGGAGATCGTGCAGCATCCTTGGAACCAGGAGCACTTGGGTCTGATTCAAAGAAAGAAATATTCAGTACAATTTCCAGGATAAAGAACCCTTCACTGGCATCAAGGCACTCTCCTTAAACTTATAATCGTAACTAAAGTGCTAAACCCCGAAGGCTCGTATAGTGCTGCACCTTAAAGGATTCCCTATTAATGTCATATTAGTATAGAGCTTTATTTGAGGTTTGGGTGAACGTTGGAAAAACTTACAAAAAGTAATTTATTTGCAGTACTGAAATACAGAAACGAGCTCTTCATGTACATCTGGAATGTGATATAGTTTTCTATGATGTGTAATTTACTCAAAGAATTTTTGAAGGACACACCCATCCTCCAAATGTCTTCTCCAGGTCTGCTGCTACAGAAATGGTTAAATGATCTTGATACATTCCTCCTACAACCTGTAAGTACATAAAAATATTTTGGTTATGTATTTTTTTTATCTGCAAAAGTCTCATGTGAGGAACCAGATGTCTACGTTCTTCCCCCCTTTCCTTATGGGCAGTTTTTTAATAAAACATTTCAACTCAAGCCTATGAACAGTGAAATCTTTTAGTACACAGACATTCTTTGAAGTGAATGTAGGTAATCTTGCATGGCTCCAAAAACATTTCAATTATAGGCAAGTTATTTGTGGGTTCATCCTACTGAGAGCTGGCTACACTGGCAGGGGCTTTCAATGTCAGGGTGGTCTGTACACGTTTGCAGTAGATGAGCAATTTAATTACTTAAACAAAAATTCAACCATTTCTTACCTGTATGCCAAGTGGAAGACCATTAGGGGACAATCCGAGAGGTACCTGAGTTACAGGAAATCCGAGAGCACTGAAGATTGCTGTGTAAGTAAAATTGAGAGGACGAAAAAATGACTCGCTGTGATAAGGAGCCAGTGTAGGATGACTTGGATATAGTAGCACTCCATTATCTCCAAGCAATCGCTGAATGAAAAAAAATGGATTAACTCGGTATAATTTTTCTCCAATAAAGGAATTGAAAGTTTAATGGTTTTTAATACAATCAAGAAAATACCAAGATGCCAAATTTCATTTACCTGGTTAGTTTAGTTTACTTTGTCAATAGCTTCCCTCAGTCTTGCAGTGCTTTATGATGCATTTATCATATTACATTCATGAGGGAGTGCTAAACCCATAAGTCATACAGTACCTGAGGAATGGGAGGCAAAAAGGTTTGATCCAAGAAAAGGAAAGCTATGTTCAATTTCTTGGATTAAGAGCTCTTCACAGGCATCAAAGCACCACCCTAGAGGGTGGTGACCCATATAGGTTTTGCATATTTCCTCAAAGGAGGTGCCTTGATGTGGCAAGCAACTTTATGCAAGGAATTGGACCTGTTTTTACTTTCTAGGTCCAATTGCTTCCCAGATGCTGTATGACCCATAAAAGTTTTATGACCCCCTCCCTCCTTTCAAGAAACTAATGTAATATTTCCTTGGATCAAGCTGTATAGCCCTTGTGGCTTAGCGCTTCTTTTTGATTATAATAATAATCCTTGGATCAAACTAGATTGCCTTTCATTTCCTCAGGTGATGTATGACTCCTATGTTGACATAAATGCGCATACCAACATTTTTTTTTTATTACAAATTGTGATAATTTTCTAAGTCTTACACTATGTATAATGTTGGGATAAAAGGCATTTCAAAAAGTGCTTGAAACATCACCTTTATGCCCAGATATAACATTACAAATGATTAAGGTCCCACGATCAAAATCTTTCTTGTCGTCTTATTTGATTTTATTTCTTTTTTTTTTAAACCAATTGCTGCACTGTATGACTCATAAGTTTAGCACTTCATTTTTTATAATACAGCCTCTCCTCACTCAGCGACATACTCATTGATCAACTACTTGGACTTACAACAGGCTCTCTGATTAGTATGCATTCTGTTTATTACAATATACAGTACACTACTGTATAAACATTTAAAAATACAACAGAAATGTTATAAATAATGCAAAGGTGACATTAAAACAAACATTTAAAAATACAACAGAAATGTTATAAATAATGCAAAGGTGACATTAAAACAATGTCAAAGATGGTTGACACAAACCCACTATTATAGTATGCTCCTCACTTCGCAATGAATTCGTTTACCGACATGGGCATAGGAACAGAACTCCATCATTAAGTGAGGAGAGGCTGTACTTTAAACCAACTGTCAGTATGCACTGCCAAGGTTTATAACAAGTGAATGTTCTGGTGTTGGGGAGAAGTGTGGGATTAAAAGAGGGCTGATACAAAGTGGGAATTGCCAGATGCTAAACTGTTACCCTCATCACCTGGTCTTTTCTATGTACACTTTTTAATTGCCTTTTACTCAGGGTGAGTTAAAGGAAATTAAAAAGTGTACATAGAAAAGACCAAGGTGATGAAGGTAACAAAATGTTTAGAGAGTGAATGTATTTAGATAATTAAGAAGTAGCAAATGAGAGGGGGAAAAAAAAAAGTAAAGTTGTCTTAAGGCATCTATGGAAACAGTTTAATTACATAGCATACCTGCACCCTCATTTGTAGGGTTTTCCAGTGATTTTCTGCATTAAATTTTGGCATAGGAACAGCTGTGGCTTCCTTTCCCAAGAGTACCTTTGTCTGGTCCTTGAGGAATTTGATTTCCCCTATGAGCTTGTCAAGGAGAGCCTGTGCTAGTGAGGGTATAGTGTGGAGTGCGCGGCCCAGTATAGCTCGGGTTATTTCAGTCCACACATTAATTTCTCCCTGTGAATAATAAGTAGTAGTAGTCAATATCCAAACAATAGTTTGCCTACCTCTAGATTCTTAATTAGTAAATTAAGATTCCAATTCTTTTATACTCTTCTGTAAGATTTCCAGATGCAAAATAATAAAATCAAACCAAAGAAACTAGATGCATAGAGTGGTTGATATATGAGGTTTTCATGAATATAAAGGTTAATATTTTCCTACTATGTGATGCTACTCTCAGTATTCTGAATTCATCTTCTTGTCTCCTGATAGTAATATCTAGTAATGGATTCTCCATGAATATAATTTGGTAATCATGAAGGGAACTGACCATACCACAGGCGGGATTTGAACCCACGGTCAGTCTCTCGAAACTCCAGACCGTCGCGTTAGCCACTGGACCAGCTAGCCACAATAAGATTCGTCCAACTAGGTATATTTCTACACCACAGGAAGGTTAACATAGGCACCACTGTGACCACAAATGCAAGTTTTTACAGACGAATCTCCAGTGGTGCCTATGCTAACCTTCTTATGGTGTAGAAATATACCTAGCTGGACGAATCTTATTGTGGCTAACTGGTCCAGTGGCTAACGCGACTGTTTGGAGTTTTGAGACTCTGACCGCGGGTTCAAATCCCGCCCGTGGTATGGTTTGTTTGCAATCGTGTCATTACGATTTCGTGAGTCATGAGGGGAACTGGATCTGTGCTCCAATTCCCTGAATTAAGCCTGAATGCCTTCCATATACCCACAGGCACTGTATAATCCCTATGGTTTAGCACTCTCCATGATGATGATAATGGTAATGGGTGAAGCAAAGCTTGTTCAAGTATTCTTGTGATGTAAGGAATTTGACCTGCTACACCTTTCCCTGGGTTGAATCTGAATGCCTCCCATTTCCCTTGGTGCTCTATGACCCCAAATGGGTGGGTGTAGCACTCCTCCATACATATGATAATAGTTGTTCAATTATCATTTATCATGTGTGTAATAGCAACGTTGTAACTTAGTATTTTTTATACGACTGTATTACAGCACTCAGAAGGGCTTCCAAACCTCAGTCTGCTGAGATTTGGCTCCCTGATCATCTGTGCACATCCCCAACATGAGTATATATGTTCTGTAGACCACATGCACACACCCAGGGAACAAACCACCAAGATGAACATAATCCTCCCTTCAGTAATGTGACTAGCAATACAACACATGCACTGGTAAGAAGCAGCACCCACTAGGTGTGGTTTCCACATCCATCAAGGAACTCACCAGGAAGTGGCACACTCCTCGCCAGTCAGGTTCCACTGCTGTGAGTCTGTGATCTTGTGTGATCACTATGGAGAAACAGGTAGAAATCTGTCCACTAAAATAAACAAATACTAATGTGCATGCAACAGGGATGACGTAACTAATGTATTCAAGGTCCACAAAAAACACGCACACCTGATAAATTTGGGAGGTGCACAAAGCTATATCTCAGCAGATGCCAGTGTTCAGAAGCCTATTTGATTGTTGTAACAAACACCACCATACACAAAAAAACAGGAAGTTACAATATTGCCATTACTCTTGCACACATAATTGAAAAGGCGTCATTCTGACCACCAGATACAGCAGTCAGGCGATTCTTCACTAAGCCTAAACCATGCTGCCAGTCTGGGGCCTTTCTGACTATTTATGCTTATCTTTTTCTATCCAAATGTACACTTGGAGTGACCAAGGTCCCAGGACTAAAACATTTCCAATAAAATGTCCTAGTGTTTGCATTTTGTCTTCTTAAACCCCTAGTCGGTATGGCAAACTTTTTATTTCCACTCGTTCACCTATCCTTACCTTGTGTGGTATACATGCATGTTGCTCTACAACAACAAATCGTCTAAACTGATCATAAAATGAATATCTACCATTAGAGCAATCACTCAATCTGATTCCTAACAACCCTCTGCTTTGTATACAAGCTCCACTTCCTTGAATTAAGCCTAAATGCCTTCCATTATCCCCCCACAGGCACTGTATAATGGGTTTAGCAACCCCCCCCCATGATAATTTACATACAAAGAATCCACACATACTACTCTGCACATTATCTATACAGGACACTCAATAGAAATATTAACTCTAAGCTAAACAATTCTTGACAGCTGAAAGAGATCACATAGGCACAACACAAAAAATAAATCTTGATATTCCACATGTACACCAAAACCTGAGCAAACACTCCATGCATATCAAAAGGCCCAAAATCTGGAATTTCCTGTAAGATTAAAAAAAAAAAAATTTACTTAATGGGTTCAAAAATTCAAAAAAATATCTCTTGAACTTTATGTAACATTTAATAAATAATGACCAGGAATATTTGCTATGTCAACTGTATCATACTGTTAGCTTATTCAATTACTACCTCCTCATTGTAATATAAACCACTTCATTATGTACAAAACCTATTCATACTGAACTGTCACACAAAAGTACATATTATAATCCTTATGTAAATATGTGTACTAGTATTAGGTAGTTCCTAAGTACATGTACTAGTTTTAGTTTGCCCAAAATACTTTGCTTAATTGACTTTTCTTAGATTGTAACAAGATATAGTTCCAAGGCTAAATAAATACCCTGTAATTCTTTATATCTGACAACAGTAAAGAGCAAAATGTCCACAGTATAACAAATATAGTGGACCCCCGGCTTACGATCAGCTCCCAACTCGAACAATTATGTAAGTGTATTTTTGTAAGTGCTTTTGTACGTGTATTTTTGAGGATCTGAAACGGACTAATCTAATTTACAATATTCCTTATGGGAACAAATTTGTTCGGTAACGGCATCCGAACAGACTTCTGGAATGAATTAATATCGCAAGTCGGGGGTCCACTGTATAACTTTAGCTCAACCAGTTAGTACAAAAATGTTACCTTGTTGTCTGCCAGCTGCTCAAACATTGGAGGCCAATCCTTGTATTCTTCTCTGAGTTTTTCTTGCCATATCTGGTAAGATCGTCGCATTCCAGGGATCACAATCTTTCAATAAGTTTGATATAATATTTTATCTTACTTTGATTTCCAAAGAATGCATGCGAGTATAGAATTTAATTTAAATTTTAATAATTACCCATATTCCAAAAGCTCCTAGGTAGTATGTTGGTAGACAGCAACCGCCCAGGGAGGTACTACCGTCCTGCCAAGTGAGTGTAAAACGAAAGCCTGTAATTGTTTTACATGATGGTAGGATTGCTGGTGTCCTTTTTTCTGTCTCATGAACATGCAAGATTTCAGGTACGTCTTGCTACTTCTACTTACACTTAGGTCACACTACACATACATGTACAAGCATATATATACACACCCCTCTGGGTTTTCTTCTATTTTCTTTCTAGTTCTTATTCTTGTTTATTTCCTCTTATCTCCATAGGGAAGTGGAACAGAATTCTTCCTCCGTAAGCCATGCGTGTTGTAAGAGGCAACTAAAATACCGGGAGCAAGGGGCTAGTAACCTCTTCTCCTGTATATATTACTAAATGTAAAAGGAGAAACTTTCGTTTTTCCTTTTGGGCCACCCCGCCTCGGTGGGATACAGCCGGTGTGTTGAAAGAAAAGATTCCAAAAGCTTTAAAATCAAAACCAAACTGAGAAATTATACAAACATAAGAATGACAGATGGCTTTGTTAACTAATCTAGAGCCAAGGAATTGCAACTAACCTGCCTATCCTTGGATCATATCTGATTGCCTTCCATTTTCCTGGTACTGTATGACCCCCCCCTTACAGATTTAGCTCCCTTCATTGACTGTAATAATATGGTGGAGCTCTCTTTAATTGGGATGATAATTCAATGTGCACTCAGAAGTGTTGGTGTTGCAAAAAATAATGTACTAGAGTGAGAGGTATGGGAGGAAGTGTACAACAGATCCAGTGATACTCATATAAATCCAATACAGAGAATAGTTACTGAAACTACTACTGCATGAATAAAGTAGTAGTTCCAGTTTATTAACCCTTTCAGTGTCATGTTTACATTAACATATATTAAGTTAGCAATAGAACTAGGCATTAAAAATACAATAAAAAGTAAAATACACACACAGTACACTTGTTACTTACCTTAAAATATTAATATGAATGTGTGAAAGGCGAGTGGCAGTGTAAAAGTTTTTCCATGTCAGTACTAAGTCACTGAATTTTTTGGGTTATCCTAGGTTCTCTACACATATGCTGCTATATATAACTGTATTTGATGGCTATCTCAGCCATCGACAAACCTTGATAGTAAGTTTATTCAGATATACACAAATACAGTTACATAGATTATCATACATAGCAGCATGTGTGTAGAGAACCTAGGATAACCCAACGAAGTCAGTTCACTAATTATAATCACTTCTAACTTGGCACTTAAAGTAAGAGGCTTATGGCTCTTCTTTTTATCACAACTAAGCTTAGATGCAATTGTCAACAGGAGCCAACTAGTTTACGAAACAGTAAACGAGAGAGAGAACGAGATGCACGGAGCTCAGACAATGTAAAAACACAAACTGAACAGGTGGTGGGCGATCACTCATTATTAATATGGTGTTCTCAAGACTAATAAGACACTCTAGTAATTTTGATGTATACTTGCATGCCAGCACAGTGTGCAAGTTTATTTAGGTTCAGGTACACATAAGTACATTTTTCAGAGTACATGTATATATAAAACATGAAGTAACTTTAAAACACTTGAAATTTTGGAAAGTTTCCAGACATAATGAGTCGAGTCGAGTCGAGTCATAATGAAGAGACAAGGGGCTCAGGGAGAATATAAACAAACTGGGTGGCGCACGGTGACCATATTAAAATGTCAGGTGGGGGAGGGGGAGCCATATAGCAAGTTTTGGTCATAATTTGAAATGTCCATATTAGCGGAATGCCGTAAATAAATAAATATATATAAACAAGTCGACCCTCTCCCACCGAAGCAGGGTAACCCAAAAAGAAAGAAAATCCCCAAAAATAAAATACTTTCATCATTCAACACTTTCACCTCACTCACACATAATCACTGTTTTTGCAGAGGTGCCCAGAACACAACAGTTTAGGAGCATATACGTATAAAGATACACAACATATCCCTCAAACTGCCAATATCCCAAACCCCTCCTTTAAAGTGTAGGCATTGTACTTCCTATTTCCAGGACTCAAATCCAGCTATATAAAAATAACCGATTTCCCTGAATCCCTTCACTAAATATTACCCTGCTCACACTCCAACAGCTCGTCAGGTCCCAAGTATCATTCGTCTCCATTCACTCCTATCTAACATGCTCACGCATGCTTGCTGAAAGTCCAAGCCCCTCGCCCACAAAACCTCCTTTACCCTCTCCCTTAACCTTTTCAAGGATGACCCCTACCCCACCTTCCTTTCCCTACAGATTTATATGCTCTCCATGTCATTCTACTTTGATCCATTCTTTCTAAATGACCAAACCCCCTCAACAACCCCTCTTCAACCCTCTAATACTCTTATTAACTCCACACCTTCACCTAATTTCCACACTCCAAATTCTCTGCATAATATTTACATCACACACTGCCCTTAGACAGGACATCTCCATCGCCTCCAACCACCTCCTCGCTGCAGCATTTACAACCCAAGCTTCATGCTCATATAAGTGTTGGTACTACTAAACTTTCATACATTCCCTTCTTTGCCTCCATAGATAACATTTTTTGCCTCCACATATACCTCAATGTACCACTCACCTTTTTTCCTTCATCAATTCTATGATTAACCTCATCCTTCATAAATCCATCCGCTGACACGTCAACTCCCAAATACAGTGGACCCCCGCTTAACGATCACCTCCCAATGCGACCAATTATGTAAGTGTATTTATGTAAGTGCGTTTGTACATGTATGTTTGGGGGTCTGACATGGACTAATCTACTTCACAATATTCCTTATGGGAACAAATTCGGTCAGTACTGGCACCTGAACATATTTCTGGAATGAAAAAGTATCGTTAACCGGGGGTCCACTGTATTTGAAAACATTCACTTCTTCCATATTCCTCCTCTCCAATTTGATATCCAATTTTTCTTTATCTAAATCATTTGATACTCTCATCACCTTACTCTTTTCTATGTTCACTTTCAACTATCTACCTTTACACACACTCCCAAATTTGTCCACTAACCTTTGCAATTTTTCTTTAGAATCTCCCATAAGCACAGTATCATCAGCAAAAATTAACTGTGACACTTCCCATTTTGTATTTAATTCCCTATAATTTAATCCTACCCCTCTCCCGAACACCCTAGCATTTACTTCTTTTACAACCCCATCTATAAATACATTAAACAACCATGGTGACATTACACATCCCTGTCTAAGACCTACTTTTACTGCGAAGTAGTCTCCCTCTCTTCTACACATCCTAACGTGAACCTCACTATCCTCATAAAAACCCTTTACAGCATTTAGTAACTTACCACCTATTCCATATACTTGCAACATCTGCCACATTGCTTCCCTATCCACTCTATCATATGCCTTTTCTAAATCCATAAATGCAATAAAAACTTCCCTACCTTTATCTAAATACTGCTCACATATATGCTTCAATGTAATCACTTGATCTACACATCCCCTACCCATTCTAAAACCTCCTTGCTCATCCGCAATTCTACATTGTCTTACCTCTAATTCTTTCAATAATAACCCTACCGTACACTTTTCCTGGTATACTGTACTCAGTAAACTTATTCCTCTATAATTCTTACAATCTCTTTTGTCCCTTTCCCTTTATATAAAGGGACTATACATGCTCTCTGCCAATCCCTAGGTACCTTTCCCTCTTTCATACATTTATTAAACAAAAATACCAACCACTCCAACACTATGTCCCCCAGTGCTTTTTAACATTTCTGTCATGATCCCGTCAGTTCCAGCTGCTTTACCCCCTTTCATTCTACGTAATGCCTCACTCACCTCCCTCACACTCACATCCTGCTCTTCTTCATTCCTAAAAGATGGTATACCTCCCTGGCCAGTGCATGAAATTACCGCCTTTCTTTCTTTCTTCGACATTTAAAAGTTCCTCAAAATATTCTCGCCATCTACCCAAAACCTCCATCTCCCCATCTACTAACTTGTTTAACTCACTCCAAAATTTTTTCTTATTTTCATTAAAATTTCTTGACAGTACCTCTCCCACTCTATCATCCGCTCTCCTTTTGCACTCTCTCACCACTCTCTTCACTTTTCTTTTACTCTCCATATACTCTACTCTTCTTATAACACTTCTGCTTTGTAAATACTTCTCATAAGCTACCTTTTTCTCTTTTATCACACCCTTTACTTCATTCCACCAATCACTCCTCTTTCTTCCTGCACCCACCCTCCTATAACCACAAACTTCTGCCCCCACATTCTAATACTGCATTTTTAAAACTATTCCAACCCTCTTCAACCCCCCTATTACTCATACCTGCACCAGCCCACCTTTCTGCCAATAGTTGCTTATATTTCACCCGAACTTCCTCCTCCCTTAGTTTATACACTTTCACCTCCCTCTTATTTGTTGTTGCCATTTTCCTCTTATCCCATCTACCTCTTACTTTAACTGTAGCTACAACTAGATAATGATCCGATATATCAGTTGCCCCTCTATAAACATGTACATCCTGGAGCCTACCCATCAACCTTTTATCCACCAATACATAATCTAACAAACTACTTTCATTACGTGCTACATCATACCTTGTATATTTATTTATCCTCTTTTTCATAAAATATGTATTACTTATTACCAAACCTCTTTCTACACATAGCTCAAATAAAGGCTCCCTATTTTCATTTACCCCTGGCACCCCAAATTTACCTACTACTCCCTCCACAACATTTTTACCCACTTGAGCATTAAAATCCCCAACCACAAGTACTCTCACACATGGTTCAAAACTCCCCATGCATTCACCCAACATTTCGCAAAATCTCTCTCTCTCCTCTATACTTCTCTCTTCCCCAGGTGCATATATGCTTACTATAACCCACTTCTCACATCCAACCTTTATTTTACTCCACATAATCCTTGAATTAATACATTTGTAGTCCCTCTTTTCCTGCCATAGCTTATCCTTCAACATTATTGCTACTCCTTCTTTAGCTCTAACTCTATTAGAAACCCCTGACCTAATCCCATTTATTCCTCTCCACTGAAACTCACCCACCCACTTCAGCTTTGTTTCACTTAAAGTCAGGACATCCAGCTTCTTCTCATTCATAACATCCACAATCATCTCTTTCTTATCATTCGCACAACATCCACACACATTCCTCCATTATTTCTCTGGTAGTTATCGTTGTTTTTGTAATTGCTCTTGTAATTGCTCTTTGACAATTTTCTTCTTATTCTTTTTAGTAATTATTACAGGAAAAGGGGTTACTAGCCCATTGTTCCCGGCATTTCAGTTGACTTTTACAACACGCATGGCTTACGGAGGAAAGATTCTTATTTCACTTCCCCATGGATATAAAAGGAAAAGTAATAAGAACAAGAACTAAGATAAAATCAAAGAAAACTCAGATGAGTGTGTATAAATAAACGTTTACATGTATGTTTAGTATGACCTAAGTGTAAGTAGAAGTAGCAAGGCGTACCTGTAATCTTGTATATTTATGAGACAGACAAAAGACACCAGCAATCCTACCATCATGTAAAACAATTACAGGCTTTCGTTTTACACTCACTTGGCAGGACGGTAGTACCTCCCTATTGAAATGACAAAGAATCTATTTCCAAACATAATGAAACCAAAATTATGAAACCCGATGGAAAATTTACAGAATTACGCTCTAGGAAAGTTAGCAGTCCTGGCAATATTTGCTCATCAGCAATTCTGCCCACTTTGAGCCCTATTTTGGGTCAATTCCATTGTTCCAGTCAACCAAATTCATAGCTATTTCGCTAGTATTCCTTTTAGTCTATCGACCGAGTACAAAAAACTGCCCATTTACCTAATTCAACTACCTAACAGTGATCAGAAGCTGGCAATTTGTCCAATTTCACACAAAATTTAAGAAAGGCCAATTTCAAAATAGGGTCCAGAATAAACAATGCAGACATTCCTGGAACTAAAATATAATTTTCTCTGTTCATTAGTCATATCTCTAGGCCCCTCTTATATTACACTTACTTTCCATTTTGAATTTTTATTCACAAAAAAATAGAAGATTTACTATCATGCAGACCACTGCATTATTATAATGTAACTGTATTAATAATATTAGCGCATTCATGAACGCATATTAGACCCACATGTGATGTGATTTGTTTACTCTTGAACATTGACAAAAATCGAAATTTTCCAGTAATTTGAGCTCAGTTTCAAGCTACTGTTAGTCCTGAAACCAATCAAAATCATCTCTATTTCTGTAATGTATCTTCCATTCTATCAAATGAGACCAAGAAAATGAGAATACAACCATAAAAACCACAAAATACACCATGAAGTTGCTGTTTTAAACCAAAAACATGATTACATTTTTTTTCTCATGCACTGCATGTTGCAGGATTTTTTTTATATGGTGCACACTTACTGTACAGATACATTCTCTCATATCTAGGCCCAAATTTACCGCTCACAGCTTATCTGAGTGAGCTGAGCTCAAGGCATCATATTACAGGACTGACACTGGCTTCAAAGCCATGATATAGTGGGACTGACACTGACAGGGTTAATCATAATAAGAAAACTGTGTGTAGACCAATAATTAAGATGCATTATATTTTCTTATTCTATTTTTTAACGCACAAGGTAGGGTGACCCCAAAACTGGTTAATACTATGCAACTATAACTTGGGTATGGCAAGTTAGTTGCACTTAGTGAGATGGCTGTGAGTAACCCTTACCAAGACAACCCATGACACTGTAGCAACCATTTTTCACCATCATGAAAAGGTGGATGCTCTGAAGGAATAATATTATGCTAGATACAATATTTCAGATACTGTTCCAAGTAGCACAATCAAAAAGATACTAAAAGTCTTAAAATTCAATAGGGCTTACCTTATGGACTGTGCAGTCGTATGTACATCTGATGTGATTTGCAACAGCTCTCTGTATCATGATTAGGTAAGGACTCATACGTGTTGTCAAAATTGCATCACCGTCATTTTCCATGGTGAAGAAACGTAATGTTCCAGGATCCACCTACAAGGAGAGAAACTAACACTATCTATAGGCTGTGGTTATACTGCACTGAAAGAATGTTTAAACAGGGCTAGCAAGCAGTGTTAGAACATTTGAGATTCTCACTCGACCAAACTATCCTTCACACTATATTAACCCTTTGACTGTCGCAAGCCCCTTTCTGAAACTGTCATTGTCACAAAATTTTTTTGAAGAAAAAAAAAAAAAAAAAAAAATTCTTATGAAATGATAGAGAATTTTTCCCGATGGTAATGACACCAAAAGTACCCTGCCTCAGTGGGAGACGGCCGACTTGTTGAAAAAAAAAAAAATATGCACACTTTGATTTTTATGCTCATGGGTATGGTAGCTTACATATTACAACTCCATAAAGAAATATAGTTAATATTTAAGTAACTTGTTTTTCTTATGTTATTTAAAATATGAGGAATAAAGAACCAAAAGTAATAAGCTATCACTTATTAAATAAGAATGTAAGATTGGACCAAGGAATTTGACCTGCCCTTCTCTTCCTTGAATTAAACCTGAATGCCTGACATTCCCCCAGGTGCTATATGACCTCCATATAATAACAATGGTATAGGCTTTGTCTGTGAAACAAAGCAACAAAACTAAAAATAAATAGTAAGAATAGGTAAAAATTATAAATGAAAACTAAATGTGTTCCTGTGATAACAGGCAAGCTTCAAACAATCTGGAAGTGATCTCTGGTTATGAGTCAGTAAGATTTCCTGATGGTTCATAAGCTGTTCTCATATTCCTTTCCTGTTTCAAAGCAATTACAGGACCCTAGGTTTTTAGAACAGAAATCTTCATTGAATTATGAAGCAAAACAGTATAAGTATATCCACTAAAAAGTGCTAAATAACTTGTATAAGTTGTACATTATATAGCGGAAGGATGCTGATGTTAAAGATCTCATTTTTATTTTTTTGTAAAAATTCAGTAACTGGTTTTGATTTTAAGCCACAAATGGTAACAACAATGTGGCACCCACATGCTTACACTGGCAGAAAGCTGTATTTCCTTAACCCCTTGACTGTTGAAACCCCAAATCCTGAGGTGTCTCCTGGTGTCGAAAAAAAAAATCTTATGAAATGATAGAGAATCTTTTCCCAATGGTAATGACAATTTTCTTTGTTCATCAGTCACGTCTCCAGGCCCCTCTGATATTACTCTTGCTTTCTATTTTGAATTTTTATTCAAACAAAAAATAGAAGATTTACTGTTATGCAGACTACTGTAATATTATAATAATTGTATAAATAATGTCAACCCATTCATGACTGCATAACAGAATGGCTAGTTGGACATTTATTGGACAATGACATCATTTGTTTACTTTTGAACATTGGCAAAAATCAAACATTTCCCCTGCTTTGAGCTCCATTTGAAGGTTCTTTTCATAGTAAAACCAATCAAAATCACCTCTATTTCTATAATGTGTCTTCCATTCTATCAAATGAGACCAAGAAAACGAGAATACAACCATAAATACTATACGAAAATACACCACAAAGTCACCATTTTAATCCAAGAAAACGGTCGGAGTTTTTTTTTTTCTCATTATGCACTGCGTGCTGCAGGATTTTTCCATGTGGTGCACACTGACCACACAGACCCATTATCTCACATGTGGGCCTACCAGCTTTCTCCTGCTTGATTTGAAGCCACTAGAATTTTTGAGTATATATACGTCAAACACGGTGGCTCGTAAGACGTATATATACGACCGAAACAGTCAATAGGTTAAATATTGATCCAATGGCTAGTTTTCAGTTTCAAATCTGAGCAGTATCAAACCACATACCAGTGACCCTTCCCTACTGGGGTCAAGAGCTATAGCTTATACCTAGCTCCCCTAGAAAACTCAAATGGTACAACAATTACACACAAACATGTTTGACGGAAATCAAGCATATTAACCCTTAAACTGTCCTAACATAGATCTACGTTCACTTGCGTGGTGCTCCGAATATTTTGAAAAGTAAAAAAATATTTTTTTTTCTTTTAAAATGAAGAGCACATTTTTCTACATGTTATAGGATCAAAAAAATTTTTTAGGGTCAGTACTTACTGAGATATAAGACCATGAATTTGGCTCTGGATGCTCACCTGATGGCAACATCAACTCCTGCCGCTTGCAGAAGTGTTGCTGATATACCTTTTTTTCTTGTTTTTATTTCAATTTATATATTTTTTATGTTCTCATAATTACAATTTATAATAGTTCTTGTAATTTCATAGCCAATCTTTGCTCTGACACTAATATTAGGTACTGAAATAGTGCTCAAATAGTCACAATCACATTGACAGGTGAACATTTACACCTGCCTGGGTTATTTACTATTGTCTAGAAATATATACAAAGTATTTATAGGTCCCATCAATGTTTTAGATACCTTGGCATATACCTTGAAGCATGTTGTTATGAAAGGAATCCCTATACATGTACTGTTGACAGCCCAGTGACATCTGATAAGTGCCCACTGCTCCAGCTAACCCTCTCTGTGTTTGTTATCACTGTTACACACAAACATGTCTTGTCTCTCTGTATTTATCTGCCTGTCTATCTTTGCCTGGAATTTTTGGGTTATCCTAGGTAATTTACACTATGTATAATAACTGTACTTATGTGTGCATGTGAGACACACACAGATATAGACAGTAACAGAGATACAGATGGAGAGACAGCCAAAGCCAGCCAAAGCCAGCCAGCCAGTTGGCCAGCTGACTAGCCAGCCAGCCTGCTGAATACATAAGAAAGAAGGAACACTGCAGCAGGCCTAATGACCCATGCAAGGCACGTCCATGTCACCCCCTCCCCTGGCTTAGACCAATGACCCACCTAGTCAGGTCACATCCACTGAAGAAAGAAGCATGACATCAGACCTAGTAGCACAAGCTAGTCAGGTCCAACTCACACCCACCATCACTCATTCATGTACGTACACAAATAACCCGCACATAAAAGAGAGAAGCTTACGACGACGTTTCGGTCCGACTTGGACCATTGACAAAGTCACACTAACCAGAGGTGGAGTAGGATGGCTATATATAGGCAGAAAGAGGTGATGGTAGTAGTAGTAGTAGTACAAGAATGGTATATACCATTTTTTTTTTTCTTCTTCTTCTTCTTCTTCTCCCTCTTCCCCTTTCCTCTTTCCTTTTCTCCTCTGGGTTGTCTTTCTCTCTTCTGTCTTGTGTTTCTGTTCCTTCTTCATTTATTTCCCACTTCCCCTTTCACGTACCTCTGTGCGCTTGCTCTCCCTCAGTGGGCACCTAGCTCTCTTGCAGTGCTTCCCTTCCTTTGTATTTGACTGGCTCGTCCTCCTTATTTCCCACTTCTACCACTACCACTACTACTACCTCTACTACTACTACTACAACTACTGATGAAATTAAGACACATGTGCGGCATCTGGTTGTCTTTGTTGTGGTCGTTTCGCCATCCAGTGGCTGGCTGGATGGCGAAACGTCTACGATAGGGATGCCCGGGTGTTGCGCATGTGTCTTAATTTCATCTTGTCGGTATTATATACCATTCTTGTACTACTACTACTACCACTACTACCATCACCTCTTTCTGCCTATATAGCCGTCCTACTCCACCTCTGGTTAGTGTGACTTTGTCAATGGTCCAAGTCGGACCGAAACGTCGTCGTAAGTTTCTCTGTTTTATGTGCGGGTTATTTGTGTATCGTTCCAGTCACGGTATTGTGCCTGTTTTGTTATTCATGTACGTAATTAGTTAACCCTTAATAATACCTTTATTTACTACAAGTACATGTACAAGGTATACAGGCCTAGCTGACAACAATGACATACTACTATATAGAAAGCCCCCTGTTATGCTCCACATGTTGGGCAAATTAGGTCAGTGTCCCAGATGTGACCCACACCAGTCGACTAACACCCAGCTACCCATTTTACTGATGGTAAACATAGACAAAAGGTGGAAAGAAACACGCCCAATGTTTCTACTCTGGCTGGGAATCGAACCCAGGCCCTCGCCGTGCGAAGCGAGTGTGTTAGCCACCAGGCCACCAGAGCCCTTGCTGTATTTGTTATCAACATTACACACAAACATGTCTGTCTGTCTATCTATCTGTCTGCCTCTCTGTCTGTCTCTGCTTATCTGTCTTTCTGTCTGCCTGGAGTATATGTATATCAAACTCCTTGAAGAATGGTGTTATGAAATCTGTTGATAGCCCAGTGACATTTGATAAATGGGTGCTCGGGGAATCCTGGCTTTGTTTTCACTGATACACACAAACATGTCTGTCTGTCTGTCTGTCTATCTATCTTTGCCTGGAAATTTTGGGCTATCCTAGGTAATTTACACTATGTATAATAACTGTACTTATGTGTACATGTGAAACAGAGATATAGATAGACAGAAATGTAGAGATACAGATAGACAGAGATATAGACAGCCAAAGCAGGCCAGCCAGCCTGCCAAATACATAAGAACATAAGAACGAAGGAACACTGCAGCAGGCTTACTGGCCCATGCAAGGCAGGTCCATGTCACCCCCCCCCTGGCTTAGACCAATGACCCACCTAGTCAGGTCACATCTTTTGAAGGAAGAAGCATGACATCAGACCTAGTACCACAAGCTAGTCAGGTCCAACTCACACCCACCAACACTCACTCGTGTATTTATCTAACCTGTTTTTACTTTCCTCTTAAAATGGGAGTGTTAATGCAACATGGCATCAATGAATCACAGGTGTTTGCCACGATATTTGCTCTAGCTAGCGCTCAATTGAACTGGTGCTCCCGCAAGGTACTAAGTGCTCCCAGATTTTTTTAATACTGCACACACTGAGTGTACAGACCCATTTTTTCATGTCTAGGTGACTCAAGCCTACTGTGCCAAATTTGAAGGAATGAAAAATAAAACATTGATCTACGTTCGGAGCGCTACGCGTGCAAACGTAGATCTACGTTCGGAGCGCTACACGTGCAAAAGTAGATCTACAGTTTGGACAGTTTAAGGGTTAACATGTTTCATGATCTGCATGATTCAATTATGCATGTTTACTAAAGGCTATTTTGTGGATAGCTTTGATTATTCACATTTTTCTATCTATTTATTTTCTTAGTGCATGACCACTAAATTGAAAACTAGCCATTAGATTTCATTCAAAATGAGCTCATTGCATTATGAACGTCAGTATTAAACAGATTAGAGCAAAATTTGCAGATACAGCTAAAAACACTGATATAATTTGGACGCACAAAATTTCCTATTATTCATAGCTTCAAGTTACATATCACCAACTGTATAAAGAAATTTTGTCATTCAGTGTACAGTAATTTCAGGTACATTTATGTACAATTTTCTACCAACTTACATTTTTTCCAAGGGATAACTTGTTGACCCGGTCTCCAGCAAGAATGGCAAGGATGGGAGCTAGGTCTTGTGCATGTCTGGTGCAGGGACCTACACACTGCAACTCACCCCATTCTTTATCAAAATGAATGTTACACCCACGAAGTGACACCACACCTGGAGCAATAAATCATATAAGTAACAAGCAAGAATAAATAATAAATGATTTTCATCCTTAGATGCTTTCATTGCTATTTAAAAATATAATTTACTAGCAAAGTAAGAAAATAGCATGTATAAATCATCATTATCATACAGTTGTAAATAGTTGTAAATACAGTGGAGCCTCAGTACTCTAACAGTTACCTGCTCGAACAACTCAGTATTCTATAGTTGACCATTTGCCCGGTACTCGACCAAACAAACATGACATGCCAGAAATTCGCTGTAAACTATTTCATGTTTCTTTGCATTTTTTTGTGTTTTTTTTTTTTATATGTACAAATAAGTCATCATGAGGCCTAAGAAGATTAGTGGTAACAGCCAACAAAAAAGAAAATTGGTTGGGAAAAATTCGTTCAGTACTTGAACATGAATTAAGTTTGAGTACTGAAGTTCCACTGTACATGAATTTCCAACATAAAAATTGAGAAAGAAAAATCATAATTTAGTAGATGTCTGGCAGGTAAGAATATTTCAACCTCAAACTAATAAACAGGCCAGAATTTTTATTTATATGAAGTGCCAAATCTGTGTGGGTCATTCAGCACAAGGAATGATGAAAAATTAATCCTCCGTCTGCTAATTATGAGAATCTACTACCTTATTGTATTCACCTAGACTAGAAAACGAAAAAAAAAAGTGTTTTCATATCCTGGGGCATTATTAAGTAACAATATTTTTCTAAATTTTAGATTTCTCACAAATCAAAAGGACATAGGTTTGAATTTTGGGAATGCTGAGACATATGGCCAAGTCTCCTTACATTTGCTGCCTGTTTACCTAGCAGTAAATAAGGACCTATTTATTGCCTGGTACTTATTAATACCTAGTGTATTTTGTCCTATTTTTTGAGGAGCTTTAATAGAAGGTTTATGTATGAAAGTGGGTGATGTGGTTAGGTTATTTTGGGTTATTAACCCTCTGTCTGGGGATCATAATCTGAATATTCATCCCTTCAGAGGGAGGTGCCTTGATACTAGTGAAGAGCTCTTAGGTACTGGAGCTACTCATCCCTTTGGGCTAAATCTAATTATCTGCTATTTCCCAAGCACTGCATGACAGCTAATGTTTAGCAATTTCCCATGACTAAAAAAAAATCATTCTTATTTTTAATGAGATTAGATGATCTAATTAAATGGTTGTGGGCAGGCACCAACTAAATCTTAAGTAAAACAATATTTTTATGGGAAAGCATTAAACCCTGAGGGGTCATACATCACCTGGGAAATGGGATGTAATCAGGTCTGACCCAAGGACAGGGAAGCTAACTAATTTCTCAGATCAAGAGCCTTTCACCAAAATCAAGGCACCCTTAGTCCTTGAAGGGTAACTGAACTACAGAGTTTTCAGTTACAGTAAATGTGGATAAATGAGGTGTAACTATTCTGGTGCATGATCCAGAAAAAACTATAAGAATGTCCAAGTTATAAAAATAATGTAAAGATAAATATCTTTTCGTCTTTCAACAAATCACCCATGTCCCACTCAAGCAGGGTGGCTCAAAAAGAAAAACAAGAATTCTCTTGTTAACTTTAGTAATGCATACAGGAGAAAGGATTACTAGTTCCTTGCTCCTGGCATTGTAGTTGACTCTTACAACACGCATGGCTTATTGAGGAAGAATTCTGTTCCACTTCCCCATGGAGAAACGATAAATATACAAGATTTAAATAATTTTAAAGTGCATCTCTGTAAAACCTTAGAGGTTTAATTCTCCTTGAACTCTGGGAGCTGTGAGTGTCCCCACCTGGGTATACTCGTAAGGGGGTCAAAAAGTGGATGAGAGAGAAAGAACACTTACCACTGGTTGGCTTGTGACCAAAGAGGCCACAGAAGAATGCCGGAGTGCGGATGGAACCTCCAGTATCCGTGCCCAAACTTAATGGGGTTCCACATGCACACATTAAAGCACACTGGAAGACAAATTATCTGATTATTTAAATATGATAAAAGCAACAAAGTGCCAGACCTGTACAGGTCATTCAGTTATTTCAGTAAATAAAAAGGACACATTCACCATCATTCTTTCAACAGCTGTCTCACCAGAAGTATGCAGATAGTGCAATTCAAATAAATGGCTAACCCTTCAAACAACATTAATCTTTCTCCTTCAGAGTCCAGGTACTATTTCCCATCTCCAGTACTCAAGTTTGGATAACCAATTTCCCTGAACCCATTTATAAATGTTTCTTTGCACACCCTTCAACAGCATGTCAAGCCATAAAAACAAACTTTTCTCCTCTCACTCAGATCTAACATACTCATACACCTGCTGGATGTTTAACCCTTTGAGGGTTTCGGCCGTACTAGTATGGCTTACGACCCAGGGCTTTTGACGTACTAGTACGCCTAAATTCTAGCACCCTCAAATCTAGTAGGAGAAAGCTGGTAGGCATACATATGAAAGAACGGGTCTATGTGGTCAGTGTGTGCAGTATAAAAAAAATCCTGCAGCACACAGTGCATAATGAGAAAAAAAAGACTGTGTTTTTGGAATAAAACAGCGACTTTGCACTGTATTTTCGTATGGTATTTATTGTTGTATTCTACTTTTCTTGGTCTCATTTTATAGAATGGAAGACATATTACAGAAATGGAGATGATTTTGACTGGTTTTACAATGAAAAGTACCTTGAAATTGAGCTCAAAGTAGCAGAAATGTTAAATTTTTACCAAAGTTTAAAAGTAAACAAATCATGCCAAGCATCCAATACACGTCAACTGGTGAGCCTAATATTCTTTTACAAGTGCGCTGATATTATTTATACCATTTCTACACTAATGCAGCAGTCTGCATAACAGTAAATCTTCAATTTTTTGTAAGAATAAAAATTGAAAGTGGAAAGCCAAAAAAATATAAGAGGGGCCTGGGGATGTGACTAACGAACAGAGGAAATGTTATTTTAGTGCCAGGAATGTCTTTCTTGTTTATTCTGGACCCTATTTGGAAATTGGCATCTTTTGAAATTTGTGTGAAATTGGCAAAATTGCTAAATTCTGACCACTGTATTGGATAGTTGAAATCAGTAAATGGGTGGTTTCTTGTACTCATTCAATAGAAAAAAATGGAGTTCTAGAGAAATAGTTATGATTTTTGTCGACTAGTACACTGGAATTGGCCGAAAATAGGGCTCAAAGTGGGCAAAATCGCCGATGCGTAAACATCATCGAGACCGCTAACTTCGGGAGAGCATAATTCCGTAAGTTTTCCATCAAATTTCATACTTTTGGTGTCATTATGATCGAGAAAAGATTCTCTATCTTTTCATAAGAAAAAATAATTTTTTTTTGTTTTAAATTTGGCCGACCCTGAGAACAAGTCTCGGAGAGGGCCTGTTGACCCTCAAAGGGCTAAGCGCCTACTGCTCAAAAACTACTTTTTACTCTGAAACTGGCTACCGTATTATGCTTCATCTTCTCTAAATACAGAAATAACCTCAACAACCCTTCACCTGCCCTCTGAATTATACCTTCTATAATCCTATACAGTTCCTAATTTCTACATTTTGAATACTCTGCATGATCTTCTTCTTTCAACAAACCGGCCATATCCCACTGAGGCAGGGTGGCCCAAAAAGAAAAATGAAAGTTTCTCTTTTTAAATTTAGTGATTTATACAGGAGAAGGGGTTACTAGCCCCTTGCTCATGGCATTTTAGTTGCCTCTTACAACACGCATAGCTTATGGAGGAAGAATTCTGTTCCACTTCCCCATGGAAATAAGAGGAAATAAACAAGAACAAAAATTAGTACAAAAATAGATGACAACCCAGAGGGGTGTGTATACATATGCTTGTACATGTATGTGTAGTGTGACCTAAGTGTAAGCAGAAGTAGCAAGACGTACCTGAAACCTTGCATGTTTATGAGACAGAAAAATGGACACCAGCAATCCTACCATCATGTAAAACAATTACAGGCTTTTGTTTTACACTCACTTGGCAGGACAGTAGTACCTCCCTGGGCGGCTGCTGTCTACCAACCTACTACCTAGAACTCTGCATAATATTTACACATAATGCTCTCAAGCCATCTCTATCTAGTCTGCTCCTTGATAAACATTTAATAGTCTATAGATCAACCTACTAACATGTATATTGCCAAATATCTAAGTAGTACAATACTGGACATTCACTTATTTTTAAGACACATACACAGGAGCCATGACCTGACCCCTGCAACCATATACACCTACCATCCAACTTACGACCGAGTTCAGTTCCGAGAAACCGGTCGTAAGTTGAAATGGTCGTAATTCGAACTTTACTACTGAATATCAACAAAACATTTTTGTAATGACTTTATTTTATTGTTTTATTTTGGTATTTCATGTTTTACTTTACTTTTTATGTTGTTAGTACTGTATTTTATACTGTAAGGTTTAGGATAAACACTGTGTACAACACAAATAGTTGTTTATTTCCCAGAAATTTGGCATAAAAAACACGGTCGTAAGTCGAGTGGTCGTAAGTCGAGCAGGTCGTTAGTCGGATGGTAGGTGTACATGTATAGGTAAGTACACGTACACGTACACACACGTATACACACGCACATGCACACACACGCACATGCACACACATGCACATGCACACACACACACGGGCAATAGAAATAATGGGAAGACTAAAGCGAGTCCTTCGTTTACCCGAAGGTGTAAGAAGGCAAAAACTAAGTGCATCAGAGAATGGAAAAGGTACAGGAGGCAAAGGACCCAGGAAAATAGATTAGTCGAAGAGCCAGAAACGAGTATGCACAGATAAGGAGGGAGGCCCAGTGACAGTATGAAAACGACATAGTATCAGAAGTCAAGTCCGACCCGAAACTGCTGTATAGCCACATTAAGAGGAAGACAACAGTCAAACACCAGGTGATCAGGCTGAGGAAAGAAGGTGGGGAACTCGCAAGAAACAATAAAGAGGTATGTGAGGAGCTAAACATGATATTTAAGGAAGTATTTACAGTGGAGACAGGAAGGCCTCTGGGAGGATAGAACAGAGGGGGACACCAGCAAGGAATATACCAACAGGTGATGGATGACATACATACATACAACTGAGGAGGAGGTGAAGCTGCTGCTAAGGGACACTGATACCTCAAAGGCAATGCGACCGGACATCTCCCCGTGGGTTCTTAGAGAGGGAGCAGAAATGCTGTGTGTGCCACTAACCACAATCTTCAACACATCCCTTGAAACTGGGCAACTACCTGAGGTATGGAAGACGGCAAATGTAGATCCTATTTTTAAAAGAGGAGACAAAAAAGAGGCACTAAACTATAGACCAGTGTCACTGACTTGTATAGTATGCAAAGTCATGGAGAAGATTATCAGGAGGAGAGTGGTGGAGCACCTGGAACATAACAAGAGTATAAACGCCAGTCAGCAAGGATTGATGGAAGGCAAATCCTATGTCACAAACCTTCTGGAGTTTTATGATAAAGTAACAGAAGTAAGACACGAGAGAGAGGGGTGGGTTGATTACATCTTCTTGGACTGCAAGAAGGCTTTTGACACGGTTCCTCACAAGAGATTAGTGCAGAAGCTAGAGGATCAGGCATGTGTAACAGGAAGGGCACTGCAATGGATCAGAGAATACCTGACAGGGAGGCAACAATGAGTCTTGGTATGTGATGAGGTATCACAGTGGGCACCTATGACAAGCGGGGTCCCACAGGGGTCAGTCCTAGGACCAGTGCTATTTTTGGTATATGTGAATGACATGATGGAAGGGTTAGACTCAGAAGTGTCCCTGTTTGCAGATGTGAGGTTAATAAGGAGAATTAAATCAGATGAGGATCAGGCAGGACTTCATAGAGACCTGGACAGGCTGGACACCTGGTCTAGCAACTGGCTTCTTGAATTTAACCCAGCCAAATGCAAAGCCATGAAGATCAGGGAAGGGCAAAGAAGACCGCAGACGGAGCATTGGCTAGGTGGCCGAAGACTGCAAACCACACTCTAGGAGAAAGATCTTGGGGTGAGTATAACACCAAGCACGTCTCCAGAAGCATGCATCAACCAGATAACTGCTGCAGTACATGGGCGCCTGGCAAACCTGAGAACAGTGTTCTGATACCTTAGTAAGGAATAACAAAAAAAAGGCACAATACCGTGACTGGAACGATACACAAATAACTCGCACATAAAAGAGAGAAGCTTACGACGACGTTTCGGTCCGACTTGGACCATTTACAAAGTCACACTAACCAGAAGTGGAGCAGGACAGCTATATATAGGCAGGAAGAGGTGGTGGTGGTGGTGGTAGTAGTAGTAGTAGTAGTACAAGAATGGTATATAATACCGACAAGATGAAATCACGACACATGCGCAACACCCGGGCATCACCATCATAGACGTTTCGCCATCCAGCCAGCCACTGGATGGCGAAACGTCCACAACAAAGACAACCAGACGCCACGCATGTGTCTTAATTTCATCAGTAGTAGTAGTAGTAGTAGTAGAAGAGGCAGTAGTAGTGGTAGTGGTAGAAGTGGGAAATAAGGAGGACGAGCCAGTCAAACACAAAGGAAGGGGAGCACTGCAAGAGAGCTAGGTGCCCACAGAGGGAGAGCAAGCGCACAGAGGTGCGTGAAAGAGGAAGTGGTGAAATAAATGAAGAAGGAACAGAAACACAAGACAGAAGAGAGAAAGACAACCCAGAGGAGAAAAAGTAAAGAGGAAAGGGGAAGAGGGAGAAGAAAAAGAAAAAGAAAAAGTGAGGAGTCAGGTTAAGTCACGGGTGTTCTGAAGTTTGGAGCATTTTACAATGTAGTGGGAGAGGAAGGCATCTACAGAGACGAAGCCAGGGCTAAGATTCATACAAGGAAAGTTGTGTATTAGAGAGGATTCAACTAGACGGCAACTGTTCGAGTTGGAAGTAGGGAAGACAGTTTTGGCAGAAGACCAGTCAATAGGATGGCTATGATCTCTGATGTGACAGAAAAGAGCATTGTTAGTGTTGGCAAGCCTAACACTATTTTTGTGCTCCCTAAGTCTGTCAGAAAGAGATCAACCAGTTTCTCCGAAGTATTGAAGAGGACAGGAGGAGCAAGAAATAGAGTAGACACCAGGAACATCTGTAGAGGGAGGAGAGGTATGAACGAGATTAGTGCGAACAGTGTTAGTCTGGCGGAAGGTAAGCTTGATGTCTAAGGGACGGAGAGAACTGCTGAGATTAGAAAGACCGGAAATGTAGGGAAGGCAGAGGATAGAAGAGTTCCCAGGAGTAGAGAGTTTGGGAGAGAAGAAATTGCATTTAGCATGTGAGAGGGCAGAGTCTATGAAATGGGAAGGGTAGCCAAGATGGGAAAACGAATTATGAAGAGTGGAAATTTCTGCTGGAAGGAACTGAGGATCACAGATGTGGAGGGCACGGAGAAAGAGGGAGATAAGAACACTTTTCTTGACAGGGAAAGCATGATAGGAAAAGTAGTGAATGTACATGCCACTGTGCATGGGTTTTTAGTAAACGGAAAAGGAAAAGCCTGTGACTTTGTAAATGGTCCAAGTCGGACCGAAACGTCGCAGTAAGCTTCTCTCTTTTATGTGCGGGTTATTTGTGTACCTTAGTAAGGAATCGTTCAAGACACTGTACACCGTGTACGTCAGGCCCATACTGAAGTATACAGCACCTGCTTGGAACCCACACTTGATCAAGCACATCAAGAAATTAGGGAAAGTGCAAAGGTTTGCGACAAGGTTAGTTCCAGAGCAAAGGGGAATATCCTATGAAGAAAGGTTAAGGGAAATTGGCCTGACGACAACACTGGAGGACAGGTGGATTAGGGGAGACATGATAACAACATACAAAATACTGTGTGGAATAGACAAGGTGGACAGAGACAGGATGTTCCAGAGAGGGGACACAGAAACAAGGGGTCACAATTGGAAGATGAAGACCCAGATGAGTCACAGGGATGTTAAGAAGTTTTCTTCAGTCACAGAGTGGTCAGGAAGTGGAATAGCCTAGCAAGTGCGGTAGTGGAGGCAGGAACCATTCATAGCTTTAAGATGAGGTATGATAAAGCTCATGGAGCAGGGAGAGAGAGGACCTAGTAGCAATCAGTGAAGAGGCGGGGCCAGGAGCTGAGCCTCGACCCTTGCAACCACAATTAGGCGAGTACACTCTTTCTGCACCCCTCTTTGCATTTGTTTTAATCTAATTTTTTCTGAAGACCTGGCTTATCAGGTCAGAGGTCAGAAGAGAGAGAGAGAGAGAGATACATGCTGAGAGAAAAGACAGAAAGAGAGACCTGATAAGTTCACCTCACCACCAGATGAACCTCCTGGGGTGCGCCTGGTGTCATACGGGTTATTGGTGCGGCCATACACTCTGTTGTCACACTCCCACCACATACCCAACTCTGATATGTTGGTATTTGCCAACAAGATGGCTCCTGAAAGAAAGAAATATTTATATACTAAGGGAAGCTTTATAAACAATATGCAAGAAGTGTTTGCCTCAATGGAAATAAAAAGGTTTTCCTTCATAGATTATCATTACAGTCACAGGACAGTGCTAATCCCATAGGAAACATACAATGCCTGGGGAATGAGAGATAATGCGATTTGATTCAAGGAAGGGGAGGATACCTTTAATTCTTTGGCTCAAGAACCTTTCAGTATTCAGCATTAAGGCAACTCTTTCAATAATTACAAGAAACTTTACCATTATGATCCTCTTAGTTTAAAAAAAAAAAAAAATGCTGTGATGTCTATAATGTAATGACAGTTGTTGAAAAAAATGTACGGTGGTGGGAAATACAGTGCTTGTACTTGTAGATGTCGCAGTTTAGAGTGTCATATGAACTGTGATGTCTCCACACTTCTGACAAGACATCTACTGAATGAATGATGGTGAATTATGTTTCTTTTTTGGGGGGTAAGCTACGTTGGTAGGAGAACATCAGTGTTGAAAAAAAATAAAAATACACAAGATGGAATGAAGGCTAAGTGAGATGATATAAGATGAGATAAGATGGTATAAGAGGCAATGCGCTTGCATATTTTAAATCCTACCTTTCTAATAGGTATCAGTATGTCCCCATTAAAGACACAGCCTCATCAATACAGCCACTTTATACTGGAGTTCTGCAGGGAAGTGTCCTTGGACCCCTGCTCTTCCTCATTTACATCAATGATCTTCCAAACGTATCTCGACACCTGAACCCCATTCTCTTTGCTGACGACACGACTTATGTCATCTCCCACCCTAATCTTGCCACCCTCACCACCATTGTTAACGAGGAGCTGCTCAAAATATCGACTTGGATGACAGCCAATAAACTTACACTTAACACTGGCAAAACCTACTATATTATGTTTGGTAGCAGAGCAAGTGTTGTGCAACTTAACATTAAGATCGACAACACTCTAATTGCCAGACATAATGAGGGCAAATTCCTTGGCCTATACCTCGACAACAACCTAAATTTCAGCACCCATATCCAACATATAACAAAAAAAGTATCCAAAAAGGTGGGGGTCCTCTCCAAGATACGATACTACGTAACACAAACTGCCCTTCTCACACTATACCATTCACTTATATATCCATACCTCACCTATGCTATCTGTGCCTGGGGTTCAACTGCAGCAACACACCTAAAGCCAATAATAACCCAACAAAAAGCCGCAGTAAGAATAATCACTAAATCCCATCCCTGGCAACACCCCCCCCCCCACTCTTCATAGATCTAAACTTACTCCCTGTTCAGAACATCCACACTTACTACTGTGCAATCTATATCTACAGGACCTTAAATTCTAATATTAACCTTGACCTAAAATGATTTCTTGATAGTTGTGACAGGATCCACAGGCATAACAGCAGACACAAACATCTCTATGACATTCCCCGTGTTCGACTAAACCTTTACAAAAATTCAATGCATTTCAAAGGACCTAAAATCTGTAACACCCTACCTGAAAACTCTGGAACTGCAGACACATTCATCACTTTCAAAACTACAGTTAGAAAACATCTTATCTCCCTGATACACCCCGACAACTAACTACATGATAACCACCTGGTGGTTCACAATTACACTCACTCACCACTGACTATAAACCCAGAAATACTAATCTTAATCTTAAAATAATAAATCCTAGCTAGTCATAAGTTTGCCTATGATACTCCAACATAGACACTTTGTATTGTGCCAAAACAAAATCATTCACATTGCTAAACTCACAAATTATGATGTAGTCACCTAGCCTTAATACCATAATCTGTAAGGATTTAATGTTAAGAATTAATCTAAGTCTGCCCGAAATGCCTAGCCATGCTAGGTGTCCTAGTGGCTCCCTCTGTAATTAGTATTTTATAACATGTAAACCACACAATACCCAAAACCTGTAAACCCCACATTGTAACCCTTATAGAGAATAAACTTGAATTGAATTGATCAAGTTCAGTATTGAATGTGGGATGGGAAAACAAACAAACAAAAACACACACACACACACACACACACACCACACACACACACACACACACACACACACGCACACACACACACACACACACACACACACACACACACACACACACACACCGCACACACACCACACACGCACACCACGCACGCGCACGCACCGCACACGCACGTGCACGCACGCCACGCACGCACGCACGTGCATATCACAATGTAATGAACTCAGCCACAATCTCTTACCTGTGCTCTTCTCTGTCTCTGATGACATTGCTCTCTCACCATAATAATGGCAAGTAGTCTATTCTTACCCATTATCTATTATTTGGAGTATTTTATATGTTGTGTTCATGTCTCCTAAAGATCTGTATACTTCTAGAATACCCCTCGACTCTGGGGGATTCTAGAAGCAACCAAGGGCTTCTTGTCTCCAATACTAGTGTAATACATATTTTTTTTTTTTTAACAAGTCGGCCGTCTCCCACCGAGGCAGGGTAATACATATATTCTTAATAAAGCATTTGTTCCTCAGCTTTGTACAAGTTTGGTGGAAAACAAACACCTGAACTTTCTATAATTTTATATTTCTGTTTGATGTGGATTTAACACTGGTGCTGCATACTCTAGAAAAGGTCATACATGCAAGATCAATAGTGAATTTACAAGAAAATAAGACCTTGCTCTGAGTTTTAAATTATATTCTTGGTGGTTGCTACTTAAATGCCATTATTTTTGTGTTTCAGATATAATGCCCACTCCCATTTTTTTTCCTTGCCTAACTTCACAAGTTGCTTCCCAGGTAAATGGTACAGTAAGCTGCTGTTCCTTGCCCAGATGGTATGCTATCTCTGGTCTTATCACCTTATACAGTGGACCCCCGCTTAACGATCACCTCCCAATGCGACCAATTATGTAAATGTATTTATGTAAGTGCATTTGTACGTGTATGTCTGGGGGTCTGAAATGGACTAATCTACTTCACAATATTCCTTATGGGAACAAATTCGGTCAGTACTGGCACCTGAACATACTTCTGGAATGAAAAATATCGTTAACCGGGGGTCCACTGTACTTGGTTTCATTTCTTTGCGCTAGTTGAGGTTGAACTCTACAAAACACTTTTTTGCTATCAATGTTTCTATCCCTCTCATTAGTTTTGAATCTGTGAACAATGGCATGTAGGATTATTATTATTATATTTAGGGGAAGATAATCTGAAGGATCATACAGAATGTGGGTAATAATAATAATCAAACTAAGCACTAAACTCACAGCACTTAGGTAATGGGGTGATAATGGGTATGATCCTAGGAAGAAGAGAGGTCCAATTCCTTTAATCAAGAGCCCTAACCAGCATCAAGGAACCTCCCTTGAGGGCCGGTGAGCTGGTGTCTCATAGCTCGATTGCTAGCACACTCAGCTCACACACTGTGGTCCAGAGGTCCATGCCTGGTACAGGTGGAAAACAATAGGACGAGTTTCCATAAGACACCTGCTGTCCCTGTTGACCCATCAGTAAAATGGGTACTTGGGCATTAGTCAACTGGAGTGGGTCACATCCTGGGACAAAATTGACCTAATTTGCCCAAAATGCTCTGCATAATACAGGTCATTCTATATAGCAGTATGTCACTGATGTCAGCTAGGCCTTGTACATGTTTTTTTTATTATTAACACATCGGCCGATTCCCACCCACCAAGGCAGGGTGGCCTGAAAAAGAAAAACTTTCATCATTCACTCCATCACTATCTTGCCAGAGGGGTGCTTTACACTACAGTTATAAAACTGCAACATTAACACCCCTCCTTAAGAGTGCAGACACTGTACTTCCCATCTCCAGGATTCAAGTCCGGCCCGCCAGTTTCCATGAATTCCTTCATAAATGTTACTTTGCTCACACTCCAACAGCACGTCAAGTATTAAAAACCATTTGTCTCCATTCACTCCTATCAAACACACTCATGTATGCTTGCTGGAAGTCCAAGCCCCTCACACGCAAAACCTCCTTTACCCCCTCCCTCCAACCTTTCATACGCCGACCCCTACCCCACCTTCCCTCCACTACAGATTTGTACACTCCTGAAGTCATTCTGTTTCGTTCCATTTTCTGTACATGTTCGAATCACCTCAACAACCCCTCCTCAGCCGTGTAGATAATAAGTTTTGGCAATCCTGCACCTCCTCCTAATTTCCAAACTACAAATTCTCTGCATTATAATCACACCACACATTGCTCTCAAAGTGTGGTGTACATGTAGATATAAAGATACTTTTATTATTACTTTACATGACTGAATATACAGTCAAACCAAATAGCTAAGAGTTGCTAATAGTGTATGTACTCTAAGTCTGGACAATATATACCTATCTTCCATGACATGAACTCTAACTGAATCCCATTCCAGAAGTGAAGTATGATTACTAAGGGTTTAGCAATTTCCCATGAATATAATGATAACAATAAGATGAAAACTGGAGCAAGTTAATGATTGCTTGTATGGGCACCTCAGTTTAATTTTCAGTGTGTGCATTTGGTTGAGAGAAGTATTTAAATATAAATATATAATGTCACCTGCATATTTTTTTAACATTTACTATAAAAACTGACTCCTACCTGCTTTCTTCATCTTGGTTACCACCTCAGCATCACGATATGCAATGACATAGTCCCGTGCTACCAGTCCACCTGTGTGTGGCAATCCTGCAAATGACAAGAGAATTTCACATGATGGTAGATTATACTGTTGTGACAAACTGAAACAATACTTTACATGAATATTATTTTAATTCATTGACTGTTGTATATTCAAAATAAACACGCAATGTATGTTTTTAATACTGCAGCAAGATATGGTAAGTCTATGAAGGAAAGCAAATTTATCACTTATTAAAAAATTCCTTCCAACAGTGCACACACACAAAACATAAAGGCACAATACTGTGAATGGAATAATACACAAATAACCCGCACATAGGAGAGAGAAGCTTATGATGATGTTTCAGTCCAATTTGGACCATTAACTAGTCCCACTAATACATGAAGGTGAGGGAGCCAGTATATATAGGAGAGGGGGGACAGAAAGAGAGGAAACAAGAAGGTAATGGAGAAGTAGTCGTAACAGTAAGTAGGGGAAGCAGTGGTAGACAGAAAGGGGAACGAAGCGAGGCAATAGTAGTACAGTGGACCCCCAGTTTACGATATCATTTCATTCCAGAAGCATGTTCAGGTGCCAGTACTGAACGAATTTGTTCCCGTAAGGAATATTGTGAATTAGATTAGTCCATTTCAGACCCCCAAACATACACGTACAAACGCACTTACATAAATACACTTACATAATTGGTCGCAATGGGAGGTGATCGTAAAGCGGGGGTCCACTGTATTAGTAGTGGTATTATTTAAAAAAAAAATTAAATAATTAATGACAAAACAGTCACCCAAAAGTTCCCTGAGATCTCATAATGGACAAAGTGCCTGGGGAATGGGAGATAATCTGGTTTGATCCAAGGAATGGGAGAATAGCTCCAATTCCTTGGATCACAAGCCCTTCAGTGTCCCCTCCCACTCCCTTTCAAAGGGAAATGTAGTAGTGGAAAGAGGAATCACATGGGGTTGAAGTGCCATCTTGCTGATTATGAATGAGCATACCCATGTAACTAAATATGTACATGAGTGAGTGATGGTGGGTGTGAGTTGGACCTGACTAGCTTGTGCTACTAGGTCTGATGTCATGCTCCTTTCTTCAGTGGATGTGACCTGACTAGGTGGGTCATTGGTCTAAGCCAGGGGAGGGGGTGACATGGACCTGCCTTGCATGGGTCAGTAGGCCTGCTGCAGTGTTCCTTCTTTCTTATGTATTCTTATGTATGTGTATCATAGTGGTAATATGCTTGCAACTTGAGTATGCCCATGGTGTAGTCTAGTTGGTCAGTACCTGACCAACCAGGCTGTGGTCCGTACGTCAGCTTGCGTATGACCAGCAGTAACAGCCTGGCTGATCAGACCCTGATCCACCATGAGGCCTGGTCTGAGACCAAGCCGCGGGGGCGTTGGCCCCCGAAACCCTCTCCAGGTAAACTTCAGGTAGATGACTGCTCATTTACACCTCAATTCACTCTCTACCTCTGCTACTTAGATTTTTATCTGTAAATCTCAATGTAAATTACAGTGTATGTATTAATCCATTCATTGTCTCCCAAGTAGATCTATGTAAGTGTTGGCAGTGTCACTTGCATAACTCACGAAATCGTAATGACACGATTGCAAACAAACCATACCACGGGCTTTGAGACTCTCTGACCGCGGGTTCAAATCCCACCCGTGGTATGGTTCACTTGCATAGATCTCTCTTAATCACAGCACCCTCAAATATGCTATGAAGTGTAAATTTTGGCCTAGACATGAGAGAATAGGTTTGTTTGATGGGTGTTCACATTTCTGGCAATTTTACTGGGGAAGAGTAATGCCTGCCTTGCCCTCTGGTACATTTAACGAGTTTTTACTAGGTCTGCTGCAATTACTGGGATGGCCTAAACCATGACCAAACATTTTTGGTTATATTTCATTAGCTGAGAAATAGGGCTAAGATTATTTTGTATGTGTGTGATGGGTTCACAATGGGGATGTGATTAATGAACAGAGGAAACAATGCTTTAGTACATAATTGGAATGTCTGCAGTGTTTATTTTGGACTCTGTTTTTAAACTGAAATGTGTTGAATTTTGTGTAAAACTGGATAAATTACCAACTTGTGTGCACTTTTTAGGGCAGTTATTTTAGTTGCACTCAATTAATAGAACGAAAGGCATATTAGTAAAATAGCTAGGAATTGGTTTAAAATGTCTCAAAATGGGCAAATTCACTGATGCATGAACTGCACCAACTGTTAAAATTTGTTCCTGCACAATTATATGAATTTTCTATCAAATTCTGTATTTTTGATGTTATTACCTTCAGAAAAAGATTCTCTATTTCCTTTTTTTTTTTAATCACGACACTGTCCGTCAATACTTTTAATTTCGGATGTCATGACAGTGAAAGGGTAAATACCTGGAGTTTACCTGGAGAGAGTTTCGGGGGTCAACGCCCCCGCGGCCCGGTCTGTGACCCCTAAGGATACAAAAAGTGTCTTACCAGTCACAGCAATTGACTCCTTGACTGTGAAAGGAACTCCTAAGAATGGCTGGTTCTTCTTAAGCCATTCCTCTGTAAGGCTTCCATCACGGAGACCCTGAAGACACATTCAATATTCATGATCAAACTTCAAAACAACTAATTAATGTTAGGTCTAAGTAACCATTAGTATCATATCTGTAAGGACGTAGGAAAAACATTAGAAGTAGCGTAACAAAATGAAAATTAGACATTTTATTTGTAAATGTACTTACATGTACCTGCAGAATTGTACTTATGTGTACCTGTGCCTAATAAACTTACAGTGGAGCCATGAGTTTCAGCCACCCTGAGTATCAGCCGCTTCGAGTCTCGACTGCTTTTCTTGGCCAAATTTTGTCCCAAGTTGCAGCTGTTGCCCCGAGTTTTGGCCGGCGAACCAGACCTGTCCACCTGCCTGCACTTGTGCGCCTACCTGCATAGATGTCGTGAGCCAGTCCAGCGTTGTTTAACCTTGAGTGAACATTACCAATGCACACTCATCCTGCCAGCCAGGCAGCCAGCCAGCCATTCAGCCAGCCAGCCAGCCAGCCAGCCAGCCAGCCATTCAGCCAGCCAGCCAGCCAGCCAGCCATTCAGCCAGCCAGCCAGCCAGCCATTCAGCCAGCCAGCCATTCAGCCAGCCAGCCATTCAGCCAGCCATCCAGCCAGCCAGCCAGGCAGGCAGCCAAGTAACCAGCCAGGCACCCAGCCAGGCAGCCAAGCAACCAGCCAGGCACCCAGCCAGGCAGCCAAGCAACCAGCCAGGCACCCAGCCAGGCACCCAGCCAGGCAGCCAAGCAACCAGCCAGGCAGCCAAGCAACCAGCCAGGCACCCAGCCACCCAGGTAACCAGCCAGCCAGCCAGGCATCCAGCCAGCCAGCCAGCCAGGCATCCAGCCAGCCAGCCAGCCAGGCATCCAGCCAAGCAACCAGCCAGGCAGCCAGCCACCCAGGTAAGCAGCCAGCCAGGCATCCAGCCAGCCAGGCAACCAGTCAGCCAGGCAACCTGCCAGCTAAAAAAATTGTGCATGAATTTAAGGGATACGTAGAGACTGAAAAATCTCAAACTCCAACAAGTGTTCAAATGTGACGAAACAGGCCTGTTTTGGAAGAAAATGCCAAAGAGGACCTACATTACTCGGGAGGACAAGGCCCTGCCAGGACACAAGCCTATGAAAGACAGGCTAACTCTTGTTCTGTGCTGGCATCTTCCAGATGCCAGCAAGTCTCTTCAATAAAGGTAAGTAAATGTTATTTTAAATGTGTATTTAAATTTTAATTTATCTATTGTATACTAGTACATATATATGTATTTATTTGTGTTGTGTGTATGCAAAACTATAGTTATTCTTTAAAAAATTTATTTTTTGTGAATATTTTTGTGGGTCTGGAATGGATTAATTTTATTTACATTATTTCTTATGGGAAATATTGTTTTGCCTTTCGGCCCTTTCGAGTTTAGGCCTAGCTCCTGGAACGGATTATGGCCGAAACTCGGGGTTCCACCGTACTTATGATGTCCCAAATTCTGAATTGTTCCTATATATAACTATTTTTTAAAGTTACAAAAAACAAAAATATAGTCATCACAGCATTTTTTTTTCAATATATCTATCAAAAATTGTGAATATTAGCTTTATAACTTGCTTAATCAGCAGAACATACTTTTCTAGTCCTTTGAACCAGTGTCTCTACAACACGGAATATCCTCCATATGAATGAATGAGTTCATAAATTGTGATCTTATATTAATACGGATTAATAATTTCATAAGTACAGTGGACCCCCGCTTAACGATTACCTCCAAATGCGACCAATTATGTAAGTGTATTTATGTAAGTGCGTTTGTACGTGTATGTTTGGGGGTCTGAAATAGACTAATCTACTTCACAATATTCCTTATGGGAAAAAATTCGGTCAGTACTGGCACCTGAACATACTACTGGAATGAAAAAAGTTCGTTAACCGGGGGTCCACTGTATATTATTGCTACTGTAACCTTCTCAGCTATCAAAATTTTGGGGACCAGTCCAATGTTCACTATGTTCTTCTATAACCACTGGTAGATTTATTTATTTATTTATTTTATGTCTTTGCAAACAGTACATTGAGATTTTGTATTTACAATAATGGGTTGCAATGCAAAGAGAGCCTCTATTATGCCTAAACATTATGGGCCAACTTAACATTATTGGCTTACAGACTACTTAACACTAAGGATTATATCATAGTTGTACAGTAGGATAGTAATTATTTCCTAGTTGAACAGTTGATTATTAATTATAAGTGAATCAAAATTTGTATAAGACAAAAGATAAATTCATCTATTCAAAAATGCTTTTTTGTGAAAACAATGATTCAATTATATTCCTGTCAACAATGGATAAAAGGTTCAAAGTGATTGTTAAAGTTATGATGTGGGAGAACATAAGTGAGTATTAGCATTTAGTCTGTAGATTTAGTCTGTAGATTTCAGTCAATACTGGTAATTGTGGTTTGAATTTTACAACATTAAGTTCCCTTTGCAGTAGAGATATTTTGCTGTACACACGTCGTAAAAAACTTAAGCTAACCTAACAAAACCCACCTAAGCCAAACTACAATAATGTTATGTAACTTAACCTTACCCCTGCCATCAGTACTGGAAATAAGCAACCTTACCTGATATTTTTGGCTTATCCTGGGTAATTTACAGTGTATGATAATTGTACTTGTGTGTACCTGAGCCTAAATAATAGTACACATACTTACATTCACCCAGAGAGTGATGGGCTCAGACATGCTGTACAACCAACAAATGAACTATTTTCAGTATCATCTCCCAAAATAATAACTTGCACAAGAAATGCTTATTCTATGGTGTACATAGTTTGTATGTAGTATTGTAAAATGTAATCTAGTGCCTGAGTTCTGCAGAGTAGTAATTAGCAACTATAGCCTCTTGGAGAATAAAAATTGAGAAAAAAATCCCAATTAGGTCAGGGGGGGACCCCATGCTTAAACCAAGGTAAGGCCAGATATCCACAATCCATTAAAATCAGCAACCAGCATCCCCCAGGCCGAAGAAAACTGCAGAGGGAGAAAAAGTTCCGTCCATAAGTTCCCTAGGTACAAGTACACAAGTAGTGATCATACACTGGATAACCCAATAGGAAAATAGTATACAATTATCATACCTAGGTAAATGTATGTATCCAGAAGAACAATGGAAATAAGTCACTGATTTTTTTTTTTTGGGTTATCCTACGTAATGTGTACACATATGCTGCTATGTAAAATAATTTATGTAACTGTATTTATGTGTACCTGTACCTGGAGAACATGGGAACATTAGGGCAGAGTTGAGCGAGACGTTCACTCCACCATGGATGGCGATGAAATCCCGAATAAGTCATAAAAAACATTCTCCTTGTTGGGTTTATCAGGGTGAATGACAACTAACACTGTATTAAACACTGCCTCTGGCAGTGACACTTGTTCACTTAACAAAACTTTGCGGCCAAATCTCTGGACCCATTATGTACCTTTATTTTTTTTTTTTTTTGACTACCACCCACAGGTTGGATGTGGGGGTGTACAATAAAGATATTAAAATAACCTCCTGCAGTCCCTGACAGACATGCTGTCCATCTAGTTCAAATCTTCACTGCTTTTTGTTGTATTTTTAAAGGCCCACTGACAACTAACACTGTCTGCCTCCCAGTGTCTGATGTAGAAATATTGCCTGAATCCAGGCGATGAACGGAAGGAAACAAGAAGTTACCTTCAGGAATAGAAAAGGGAACAAAAAGTCCCGTCAGGTGTAACCATTTGTTAGTAAGTTTATTCAAGTACAGGTACACATAAATACATAAATTATACATAGCAGCATATATGTAAATTACCTAGGATAACCCCAAAAAAGGTCAAAGTGACTTATTTCCATTGTGGTCCTAACCCCTACGGACCTGGACGGCCACACCTCACATGTGTCTGCTGATTTATACTATAAAAGCTCCCTGTTATGTAGATTGAACTCCAGGTAAGTAGTGGATTATTTCGGGCCCAAAGGGGAAAGAATAATAATGACACGTGTCCCAGGAAGATTGTGGAAAATGTCACCAGTACTCAGGCCAGAGCAAGATGTCCAAAGACACTGCCATGGCTGGCAGAGAAGTCTAAAATCTGAAGTTATGTTTTCCCTTCAAAGATGGTAACCTTGATGCCAGCGATGAGTTCTTGATCCGAGGAAATGAACCTATCCTTCCCTTCCTTAGATCGGACGTAATTGTCTCTCATTTACTAAGTGCTGTATGACCCCTACAGATTGAACTTTCCCTCTTGATGATGAAGGTGATAATAATAAGTGCAGGAACCAATCTGAAGATTAGTTTCTGCACATTTAACTCATGCTCACATCTTGATAATTTCTGCTGTATGACCCATACGGCATTAGAGCATGCAGGGCAGGTGACCTAACAGTTCACTGTAGAAAAAAAAGCTAATGTCAGGTTAAAATTTCTCTATAGAAGCACAGTGCCTACCAGCTCGGGAGAGCAAGGCACTGGGTACGACATTTATATAATGATATACAGACTCTTCCTATTTTCGTGGCACTTTAAAGCTCTACCCCTCCCCCCAGAAAATGAAAATCAGATTACAAATAACATAAAATAACATGATGAGATTTATCCTGTGTTTATTTTGGTACAAGTAAACATAAGTACAATTATCATTTCTAGTAACATATGTAAATTACCTAGGATAACCCTCAAAAAAATCTGATTTGTTTCCACTGTGGTCCAAGGGAACATGTAAGCCAGGATGGATAAAAAAAAAAGAAACTTCTTTAAGTGACAAATACAGTAAAGCACCTGAAATTCAACCATGTATACAAAATTCACTACCAGGGTATGACTGCTTTGATACATGTACTACACACGTACCTGATCAAGACGTTCGTCGACCGCCCGAGCCTCAAGTAATGCAGCTTGGAAGTTCTCCTGAGCAATGGCGTTGAGGATAGGGTTGACATTACTGATCCTGGTGACGTAGGAGCGTACCACCTCCACACTGCTGACCTGGTGGCAATCAAGGCATTTTTTTACATTATAACAGTAGTAGCTTATATTAAAAATCTTACACAAATAACCCGCACATAGGTGAGAGAAAAGCTTATGACACCGTTTCGGTCCAACTTTAACCATTCACAAGTCACACTGACAGAAGAGAAGGTCAGCTAAGGTTAGTCAGGAAACGGCAAGTGTTTCCTGATGCGGGTCTAAGTCATACGATGACCCGCAGCTGAAGCTTTTCTTCATCTGATTGAAGCCTTCCACTGGCTTACCGGTCCACCTCTTTAAAAATTATGGTTAAAATTAAACAATATCAACAGAAGAGAATGAGTGGGGACGGGAGAAAGAGGATTACCATTAATACTACTTATTTAATGTACAATTAATGTACAATAATGTACAATTGCTATGGATCCCATCACACATTGGATTACTCCTTCATGATAAAGTTGATATGTTAGCCAAGAAGAGTATCGAGAAGGAGAATGTAGAATATAACTTTGGTATAACTGTGTCTAGCATTAGGAATAATATTAGGAGAGAAGTAAATAATGAAAATGATTGTTATAGGAATGCAGTTAGAAGCCTGAGTAGATCTATAACCCACTATGATAACATGAACGTAGATAAGTATGTTTATGGAGCAACTTGCAATGTGAACAGACTGACTGATGTTGTAGTGGCCAGGCTTAGGCTTGGTTACAAGTACTTCTGGCAGTTTGGGAGACACACAGATGATGATCAAACTAAATGTAAATTATGTGATCAGGCATATGGTCACTCTCTTGAACACTATGTGCTTAATTGTCCACTTATTGAGGAATACAAAGACAGACAGTATAATAACCTATGTGACATGTCAAGATATCTTATTAATGAAAATAAGATACCAGATATACTAAGCAAATTTCCTAAATTTGCTTGTAACAGATAAATGAACTATAGATATGTAGATATAAATCCATATGTATTCCTGTTAACCCTTTGGGGCCTAGTTCCTAGGCCTTTTGTGTATCCACATGCTCTCGCGCTACCGTCCACAGGATGGATATGGGGTGCACAATAAACTAGCCACTTCGGTGGCAAAATCTAAAATCTAAAATCATTCTCTCCTGTCAATGTGACTTGTGAATGATGTAACCTGGACCTAAACGTCTTCATAAGCTTTTCTTTCTCGTATGTGCGGGTTATTTGTGTATTGTTCCAGTCACGGTATTGTACCTTGTTGTTCATTAAAAAATCTTACTTCACAAGACGAATGGTGAGAACTGACACCTCGTAGGAGGAATATGAGTACCTACCTTTCTTTCCCGTATACTCTTAGCCAGTTCAGAAGCAGATAGGAGGAGTATTGGGTTGAACACCGGAGGAAGATAAGACTTCCTGCGCCATCCCATCACTAACGTAAAGACGACACTCACACAAACGTCCCAAACCCAACGTACCATCCTTGCCAGTGTGCGGAGAGCCCCCACCACACACCCACC